GTGGATTCCTTAGAGGAAAGAGACTTGGGAATCACTGTGGTTAGAGCCAACTTAAGATTTATCTCCAGAGTGCAGCAGCAGTGAACAAGATGCTAGAAAGCACAAAAGAAAGGGGAGGTAGTACAAAGCTGGGAACAGATTCTGAGCGTTTATATCATTATGGGCCTCACAGACGTTTCAGAATGTTTTAATTCTACTGTGAAATATTTTCCTTTTGACTTCTTCATGTGAGGTCTGTTATTATTTACAATTCCATAGTAAAAAATCCATACTTCCATATTATCTCTCATTTGGATTCCCAAAACATCTCACAGCATTAAATAAAGCTTAAATGGACAGGAATAATTTTAAATTTACTGTTGTAAACTGCAAACAGACGTCAAGAGAACTATATGCATAAGTAGAGATGAATGTGAATCCGCCTAGAAATATTGGGTATTAAATCTTTCCATTATTCATACAAAATGGGAAAGCACTGCTTTTATTAGTATTATTATTTTGCAGAAAGTAGTAAAACACACTTATTCAAGGTAATGGAGAATTAGATTAATTGGTACAATCTGTCCTACATTTCAAAATGTGGGACCGTGTGATGAGAGGCTATAAATCTTTAGATCTTCAAAGTCATCTGAATTGCAATTTGTACCCATGAAACTGCTTCCCTCACTTTTCTAGATTTCTCTGACCACTATTTATTGCAGAGCTACAATGTTTAATTATTTAATTGAACCCTTCCTCCCCCATCAATTTCTCTAACAGTTGTTTATACTCCTCAGAATAGCTGTGTCCAGTGAGATTACTTTATCTTTCCAGAACAGAAAGTCAAAAGCTATAGGGGAAAATAGCAAGTTAATAGGAAGTTCTGAGCACAATTAATGTGTAGGAGAAGAAAAAAGAAAAGAAAAGCACCCCAAACCTGAGAACTGTATCCAGACTAAAAGGCTCTGTTGTTATTGCCAGAAAGTAATGGCCTCATGTAAGTTAACTATGAAGAGCAAAAGTGTTCATTTTTAAGAATGTAATTAATAGATGTACATAGGGCTTTTAAGACAGAATAAATTTAACTACAGCAGCACAGTAATGAACAGTAGGCACAGTAATCAATGGTGGTAGCATCAGTACGTGCACTGGCTTGCAGCCATGCCGCCTTTACCTAGAAACAGATAAATTCCATTTAAGCAGGACTGAAGCGAATAAGTAGGTAGATGGCAGGTTCCTAAAAGGAATTATGGTGCTGACAGAAAGGAGAGTTTCAATTCAACAGGAGGTATTCTCCGTATGAAATTATTGTTTAAATGAAAACCCAGTGTTTGATTTAGTTCGGAAACTTTCAAACATTATGTCAAAATGAAGCTGTGAAAGATCTATTGTGATATTTATTCATGAGTAGGCAATTTAATCTGATGTCCCTGACGTCCAACTCAAAAACCTCTACCTGTCTTCTCCAGTAAAGTTTTCTCAGTTGTTTCAGTCAGTTGGAGGAAATTTTATTTTTCTCTTTTGGGTTATGATACAGTTACAATGTTTCTATATAGCAGCCATTATTCACCCAAAAGAGTTTCATTTCAGTGGTGGTGAAGTAAGTAATCCCTGTAACCATTATTTACCTCCCAGAGAGTTGAGAGCCTTAGCCAGTGTTTGCAAAGCATCTGAGATGTCTGAAGAAAGGTTACTATAGGTTACTATAAATCATGGAATATCCTGAACCAATTCCTGCCCTGCCAAGTCTGGCACCCCTTCCTACTGGCAGCCCTCTGGTTTCACAGTCAAACAAGTAGTTTTATTCCCTCTTTATTCTATGTAACACTACCACCATCTGTTTACAAATTTCAAATTAAAAATCATTCTCAGAGGATTTTATAGCTTCCATAACAAGTGTAAGAGTTCCTTGTTCTCTGGATGGTTTAACTGGAGAGGACTTTAGGCTACTCAAGGGTCATGGCCAGATCAACAGACAGGTAAAGAGGCCAGTTTCTTTTCAATGCCTTTTTTTTTTAAACTTTAATGGAAGTACTGCTTACTTCCTATCTTCTGCTGCCCCCTAGTGAGCTTTGATTTTCACACCACCTGAACAATCATGGCTGCTTTCTCTCTTACATGCATACAAAAGTGCTGAAACACCAAACTCTCTTCTTTTTACATCCTTTAGAAGTGTTCTTCGTATCGTTCTCCACTAAACACATCAGAAACCGAAGAGCCTTTTCTATGCCTACAGTGCTAATATGCAGGAAGTGATTTTTACTGAACAGGGAAACACCCAGAAAATTGGCGTACCATAAAATCCCTTTAAACATGTCAAAGAAAACTTAATTTTTTTCATTTATATTTGTCTGCTTTACTAGAGCTCTGAAGTTAGAAAAACCACACACAGGTTCTTTCACAAATCACTGTTTAATTGTTAAAAAAACAAAAAAAACTATGGTGTTTGCTGCCTAGAAAGCATCTCAAATACAGCACCAGAGCAAACCCACTACCATACCTAAGAAAGTAGAGAAAAGTGATCTAGTTAGATCTTTTGATCTAACTTAGCATCAGGTACGTTTATGGGAAGTCCCTCCATAGTACTGCATTAAACAGTAGCCAGTCCAGCAAATGCTAGTGTGTACTATTTAATAAATATGCTTACCAGTAAATGTTTTCAGGATTGGGCTTGTGGAGAACAGCAATTAACAGAGGAAACAGACATCACTTACTGCACTAACTTTGCCTGCCTCTTCAGTTATCTCCAGATGTAAATGTAATTTCTCTCATGTACTTGCTATGAAAATTTTCAGTACTATTCCCAAAAACCAGCATTGTCCAATATGAAAGTCCAAAGGAACAAAATACCTTCACAGAAATAGTGCTTGTAAAATAAAATAAGTCACAATAGAATTCTTTGCTTCTACAAAGCCTGGCAATGAAACCTGTCAGAAGCTAGACAAAGTCAGATTTTGTAAAGGAAATTAAAACAAATTGCAAATGGGACAGGAACAAGAATGCAGAAACATATTATCTAACGCTGGCTCAAAATTAAATTAATATTTTGCCTCAGAACATGAGGGCAAGTAAGACAGACGAGTAACAATTCTAGAAATAGAAATGGCTGCATATGAGCTGGAGGTAAGAGCTGAACAGTCAAGTATGGCAGATCAGATGATGCTCATTTTAAAACACCAAAAGTATTTGTTTACCAAAAGTATGTCATGCCACAGAAACCCTGTATCTTTCCTGATGGCATTGTATAAGGAACATAGGAACTTTAAGTCCAAGTGAAGTGGTCAGGGGAGTGAAAACCAAAGCTTATAAAAGTGAGGAGCTTCACTCATTTGCTTCTTCCGTGTACACATGTACATACATCTGCAAGGAAAAGTGTAGGAGTGAAGAAGACAACTATTGTAAGTAAAAAGCTAACACTGTAACACCAGACCAAAGAGGTATAAGCTACAAATACAAGTCTGGAATAGCTTTTCTGTAGAGCAATGGGACAGACTGTGTTAAAAGGTCGTGCTTGATAATTCTCTAGCTATGATTCCAAAGGAAAGTTGCCCCTGTTAAAATAAAACTAGTTTTATGGTCTAGGAGCTGTTTTCCAGTCACATGATATAACTTAACTGTAAGAACAACCATAGGTATTTCATCAAGAGTAATCTCTCTCAGGATAGAATGCTAAGTATGGTCCTTTTGGTTACTGAATGAAATGGACAAAATAATTTCAAGGTTGTAATTAAAGATTAATGTGTCAGAAGCAGGTAAGTGAGGAAGAGAATGACATTTCCTAGGAGTAGAATGCACAGACTTCCAGCTGCAGACCTGCACAGTGAAGCTTAAGTTGCCTTTCACCCCTCCAAATGGGAATGCAACGGGGGCTTCTCCCGTTGAAAGGTGAAATTAATCAAAGCTTTTAACTTTTGTAGCAATAACTGATTTCTGTGGATTGTTCTGCAGTCTTGGGACTGAAAGAATTCAGTACATTCAGTGTATTTCCATGCATTGCTTATGGCAAAGTAGGAGAGAGAACGACTGCAAAAGCAGAGAGGAAACAGAACTGGTTATACCAGTTTTACCTCAAAGGGAGTCCCCAGTTGACGGTTCAGACAAGCTTTCAATTTCCTCTGCCCCGCTAGAAATGGCATGTCAATTGTCTCTGACAGCAGTATGGATAAAAAAGTCAAAGGAGAGAGAACTATCACACTAGACAAAGTGAAAAGCATTCATCTTGATTGTACATAAACCTTGGCTTAGTTGAGTGCAAGATTTATAATGAACAGCAAAACTTTTCTTTCAGAGGATTCTCACTCTCCACTCATAAATAAAACTATTAGGGTTTTGGAGCTTTAAAGTTTTTTATTTTTTCCTAGTGAAAACATCATCATAGATCTAAGAAGACAGAGAAATGGGATGCCTAATATTTGTCTTTGAAAAGTAGCTTTGCAGTGCACCTGTTATTGTGAAATAGCAATGACGAGACTGTTAGAAGTGATTACAGATTTAAGGTACCCCACTTCACAAGTGTCCAAATTGAAGCACCCTAAAAAGGGCTCAATTTTCAGCAGAGAGAGAGACAGCATTTAAAAAAATCGCATCCCCTTAGAGGTGTCTCAAGCTTCGTACTCAATATCATTAGCATTATTTTAATATAGCTTGCCCTAAACATCAAATAAAACACACACAAAGAAGCAGTATTAGAATGAAAAGCCATTTTATTCACCCACTTAAGAAGCCTTCTCCCTATCATTCAGCAACATTAAAGTTTTTACAAAGCTGTAGGGTAACAACCACTGGAACGCAGTTAGTCTTGGGTGTTACAAACGCTGGGACAATGTTTGCCTGGTATTTACATTTTCACTGAATTTATCATTTAAGACAATGAAGTGATTGGAATGAAAACACCCTGGTCTAGCCAAAAGAGCTACAGTTCCTATAATGAAGATAGATATTGACAGTAACTAAGTCAAAATATGTAGGCCTAGGACTCATCTGTCAGATTCGGGATGCAATACAAGAGAGAATATACTTACTGAAGCTTTCCACAAGGTCAAGGGCAACATGAGTAGCAATATCCATTCCAGTATTTATGTAAGACTGGCAGTTTTTCAGAGATGAAAGAGAGGAATCCACACAGTTGAATGAGATTCTTGCACCACCTGGCATCTTGAAATCATTACTCTAGAAATAACAGATACAACATTTTGAATGCAGTTTTCACCCAAAGAATTTGGGAGAGAAAACAGAAGTACAGATAGCTAACCATAAAGCACTGTCAACAGAATGACTGAAACATCAGAGAGCAGGGATGAAATCTTAGCTCCTAAGATGTCAGTAATTTTCAGTGGAACTGCAATTCACCAGAGGTTTGCAATTCACCTTCTACGCAGTATTAAGCAAAACTACACCACAAAAACCAACTTGCAGTTTTCATCTGCTCATTCCTATTGCTAAACCACAATGAGGTTCAAGCTCAATGATTATGTTCGCTTGAAAATTACTGCTCTATTACAGATCCAAAGAAGCCCACATGCTCAAAAACTTGTCTGTATTTTCTAGGCATATTATCAATTAGGCTAGAAAGAAATAGGACTCTCGCATCTAATTCAGCCTCACCAACTACAAGCCTGTTTCAACAGCTAGCCCTTGGAAAAAATAATCTAATAAAGGGCAACTATTCCACAAATGTATTTAACAGTAAATCATCTAGCATAATTTTTAAATAAAAGCCCATCTTACAAATGGTGCCTACTTCCCCCAAAGATGTCACAAAATTTTAGTACCAATGTTCCATTAGCACAGAATAGTGTCACACAGGAATCACGTTTATCTTCTTTACCACCATCTTCCTTTCCAATACAGATACATGATCTACAGCCTTGTGAGGTTTAACTGCTTCTCCTCTGTCATTAAGACAACCTTCAAGTGGGTTTGCTTATGCTTTGCCTACACACACTGTTCACATCAGTTGGTTTCTTCTCAAAAATTCCAACTTCTGCTCTTCCTTCTTCATGCTTTGCCATAACTCGCTTGTATAACATGTAGCTATTATAAGAGACATGAACCTGGTGTGCAGAATTTTATACTTTAAGTTGCAGGAGATAAGAAAAATTCTGCTCAGCTTTAGATACACAGTTGTTCACAGAAAAAAAAACACAAAAGTCTTGGACAGACAGAAATACTGCATTAGTCCATGTAAAGAATAACTGGTATGTTCAAGGACTATACTGAGATCATATTAGGGGAGGAAGAGAATGGAATCCACAACCAAATTTGGGGTATACCAGAAGTTTTATCTGAATCATATGCAAAATAACAAGGGGATGAGTTCTTCTATCAACAACAGCCTTTGACAGGCTATAATCCAAAAGAAATCTGGAAAATATCTAAATAGAAAGGACAAAGGTTTACCCAAGCTTTGCATACCCAAGGCTGTATCTCCCCCTCTGTTACTTTCTCTGGGACTCCAGAACTATATGTTGCGCTCATCCTAACCTGAACAACATTGCCACATTCCTCACAAATGTCATGCAGACTATGAGACCTGAATACCTGCTGTCACGCGCTCTTCTCTCGTAATGTTTTCTTATCTTTTTGTTTTTCCATTTAAAAAAATGTGCTTGGCCACTCAAGACTATCTTTTATGACACCATTTTTAGGTCATGTGCTTCCAACAACATTTTAACAAGAGTTCAAGTTTACCACTTGAACTTCTGAATTGCATACAAACTGCCTTGCTCTCTATCCCCTTCTAAAGGTGCATCTTGCCACAGAGGAGCCAGTGGCCTTCAACAACAGCTCCAGTTATGTCAGCTCATGCTCTTCCTGCCAAAAGACAGGGATTGCTGTCTTTAGAGACCTTTAGAGGCTGTCAAACTAACAACAGAAGACAAGGAAAAAGTTCCTTACAGAACTCCTTGAAAGTAAAGGATGCTCTTAAAGATTTAATAACTAATGCTTTCAGCTGTTACATTATTTAACTTTAAAAAAAAAAAAACAACACTTGTTTACCATCTTAGCAAGACTGTATAGAACCTCTGTGATCCAAAAATACACTATTAAATAGTCACATAAAATCATGTTAGCAGTTTTATCTTTCTGGGCCCATTTAGTGTATCAAAGTTAACAGTGAGAACCTAATTCCCTTCTTGAACTTGGTGGTAAATCTCACTCACTGAGAAAGCCTGCTGTTCTTTTGGAAATTTCACAGATACACACTGTGAAAGGCAGGAATCTGAAAAAAACAACAGTGAAAAGTTAAAAAGGCTTCTTCATTCTCTTGTCATTTGTGGAAGCACTGAGCAAACTACACAGGAACAGAAGTTATTGTTTACAATATTAAATCATATAATTGCACTGGTAGTTTCATCTCAATCTGTCTTTTGGGAAGTAATTTAAGTAGCTTGGACAAAATTTTCCTTTTTTTTTTAAATAAAAGATTATTTTTCTTAGAAACTGTTTATGATCCCAAGCAAAGTTTTCACTCTTGAATTTTCTAAGTGAATTCTTCAACTTCAGCTTGCAGCTGTCCATTATGCCTTCAGAGGAAAAGCCACATTCCTCACTGAAATTGGTTTCACAGCAGTGTTTTTAAGGCACTCTTTTTTGCCAGGAAGGTCTTCAATGGGTGCATCAATGAAGCACTTAAAATGTGCAACTCCCACCCCCCCCAATGTCCTCACTTCTGGAAAATACAACCAGCAAAATCAGAGTTGAAAAGGAGATCAAGTGAGACTAACAAGGCAGGGGTTTTTTCCTTCCAACAATAAGTGATCAAATGGTCCAGACAGGATTACCAAGCAGCAAACTTAAATTACAGCTTCTATTCTGCCACTTATTTTAAAGATTTGAGCAAATGAACTAATTTCTCTATGCTTCAACATCCCAAACTACGAAGCAGAGGTAAGAAAAAAAAGTTACTTCTGTAACACAAGATTTATAGGTGACAAGCGCTCACTGACTACCAGGATTAGTGTCTACCTCCTAGATTCTCTCGGTGACCGTCTATCTGCTTCCCTGCCA